TTTAATTGTAAACAACAGTGATTTCTAGGTTGTATTTTATAATTGCCTGCTTTTACAAATAGAAAAAAAGATACATTTTCAAAAAGATTTAATCTTATCACTTTCCCTGACACTTTCACTGTTTCTCATTGAATGTGTCTTAGAAAGGAATTTATACTGAAAGAAGTTTGTTTCCTCTTAGCTAACTTGTTAAACTTGTATTGATACAAGTTTTCAGGGATGTTTAATTTTAACTGCCATTTTTGCCTTAGGTGACTTTTTTCCTCAGGAAACCAATACTTGAAATTTAGGCTTGTTACAAGGTAGCTGTGATGTTCCTATTCCTGCAAGGTAAGGTTTAAGACCTTTACTTTTAAAGCAAATTTATGGTGCTAATGCTTCACTTATAGAATACTTCAGTAAACTCTTTCTTCACTTTGATGTAATTGGTTAAAGAAATTGATGAGATTGCTGAGGGCTATAGATAAGAAACCTTGTGTTCTAGTTTAGGTGCTATTACCCACTAGTAATGTACAATTTAGAAAATCATGCCTCAGTTTTCTCATTTGTAAAATGGTGCCAGTTATACTACCAAATAAGGCTGATGTAAAAGCCAAACAAGATTATACAAAGTAGTACTTTGTAAGTGGCAAGTAAATGTTAGTTATCAATTTGGACAATCTTGTAAGATAATTCTGCATTCTTTTATTTTTTAAAGATTGTATTTATTTATTTTTAGAGAGACGGAAAGGGAGGAGAGAGATGAAGAGAAATATTGAACAGTTGCCTCTCACATGCCCCCAACTGCGGACATGGCCTATGCCCTGCATGTGCCCTGACTGGGAATCGAACCGGTAACCTTTCAGTTTGCAGGCTGGTGTGCAATCCACTGAGCCACACCAGCCAGGGGTCTGCATTTCTTTCGAAAATAATTCAGCTATCAACTAAATTATTATAAATGCCATCCAAAATCCTAAGAATTTTTAACAATATCAATTTAAGAGAATATTTTCAATTAGAAACTAACTTTTAAAAGAGACTTGGTATTGCAAATGATTCCCTTAATAATGTGTTTCTACATCATAATTACAACTAAATTACAGAACAACCATCATTCAAAACTGCCTGAAATCTCTCTGAATGGAAGTCCTACAACGAAGGATTTAAAAAATAAGCTATCTCAAGACTGGTAGGAGGGACAGAGACGTGGAATGGGCTTTTTCCAGATACCCACATGTGTTGGATAAAAATTAGGAGGGGTATCTCAGCTGCGGAGGTGCCCCCTGAGGACTGAGGGCTCCCAACCCCATACCAAGCCCCTCTATCCAGGGTTCCAGTGCCAGGAAGAGAAATCCCTATAACTTCCTGCTGTAAAAACCAGTAGCGATTGAAGTTGAGGGAAATGAAGGGCTTCTAGAATCCCGGGCAGTTCCCCATAAAGGGCCTGCACACTAACACACTTGGACTCACTCCCTCTCAACTCCAGAGTCAGGGCAGCACCTTGAAAGGCACCAGAGACATATGAGGAAGAACTGAATTGTCTGGCATCAGGATGAGAGATTGCAGGTCAAAATTATGAACAACTAAATGGCAGTAAATACATATCTATCAGCAATTGAATCTCAAAAAAACAAATAAATGAACAGAATCAGAACATAAACAGAAACAGAATCATACATAGAGAGAACATTTTGATGGTTGCCAGATGGGAGGAGGCTTAAGGGGATTGGTGAAAAAGTAAAGGAATTAAGAAATACAAATTTGTTATTACAGAATAGTCATGGGAATATAAAGTACACTGTAGGGAATATAATCAATAATATTCTAATAATTATGTATGGTATCATGTGGGTGAGAGACTTAACAGGATGATCACTTAGTAAGTTATTTAATGTTTAATCACTGGGGTGTGTGCCTGAAACTAATATAATTAATGTATATCAACTGTAATTGAAAAATTAAAAAATAATTAAAAAAATAATAGTGTGTTTTTCATATTTGGGCTTTAGGGGATGCCAAAAGAACTTTTAAGGCAGTCTTTGGTTATTGGCTTTCTCTAGATGCTGACAATCACCAGTATTTATAATTTACATTAAAGTGCTTTGAAAAACATCAAAAACAATTACAAGATGTTATAATAAAGATAATATTAACAATAGTGTGATCATAATTAAGTTCTTCAGTTTTGAAAAGAAAAAAATAAATCTAGTGTACAAGCGACCTACAGTAGGGAGAAACCTTCAGGAAAATGAAGCCATTATGGAATATCATGATAATTACAATAATTTATTTTATTGTTGGCTTCCAACTAAAGTCTATCTGATGAATTGTGTGAGGACTTACCATCAAGATGGCAGTGTCAGCAGACATGGCTTGCATCCTCCCACAACTACATCAAAATTACAAAATATAGAACAGCCATCACTCAGAACAGTCAGAAATTGAGTTGAGTGGAAATCTGACAACTATGGAATTAAAGAAACCACATCCATCCAGACTGGTAGGAGATACAGAGATGTAGAATGGACTGATGTGACATCCATATGCAGTGGACAAACATTCAGGAGGGATTATCTTGGGAGTGAGGACTCCCTGGACTCCCTAGGACTATCCTGATACCAGGCCCCACAGCCCAGAGTTCCAGTGCCAAGAAGGTAAGTCCCCTCAACTTCTGGCTGCAAAAACCAGCAGGGATTGAGTTGGTGGAAGAAATTTCTGGAGATCCAATCAGTTCCTCTTAAAGAACCCACACATGGGCTCACCTAGTCAGATTCATCCCTCTGAGCTCCAGCATCAGGGTGGCAGCTTGAAAGGCACCAGTGGCACACAGGGAGGAACTGAAGTACCTGGCATCAAGGCGAGCAGAGGCCATTGTCCTTTTGCTGAAACCCTCCCACCACAGAGCCGGCAAGATGGTGCCAGATCTGAGGCTCCATCAACCTGGCTAACAGTGTTTGCCCTGCACTGGAGACCCAATGAGACAGTCCCAACCAACTTATGGGCCCACCCAACTTGCTTTTCCATGTGAATGACTGATCTTGGCTCCTGATGCGCAACTTCCTAAGTCCTCTCAAACAAGCAACAGCTGGCCTCAGTGAGCCCCAGGTCCAAAACTAGCAGCAGCTAGTCTAGATTTGCAGATTGGCCTCATCAGGGAATCACCAAGCCCAGCACAAGTAGCAGCCATCTCAGATTGCTTTACAGCTCAGGCAGGGTGGTGACAGGCAAAACACAGGTTGGGGCCAGCCTTGCCCTGCACCACCTAGGAAATCTCAGAGCCTTCACACCCAGTGGACAGCTACAGACCACACTGGAGCACTATCACTCTTCCCCTACACAGCTGATCCTCCATGGATGGCAAACGAAGGTGGTCATTGGTCACAGCCATTCCTGTAGCTGACTGGCCTGGGTAAATCCCTCCCATTGACCTGCCAAAAGCAATCAAGATTCTCGACTACAAGAAGAGAGGGTACCCAGCCCACAAGAAGGGCGCACCTCAAGTACCCAGCTTGGGTGATAGGGGAGGCTATGCCACTGGACCCTACAGGATACCTACTACATTAGGTCACACTACTAAGACACAGAGTCAAAGCAGGTCTACCTTTTACACAGAAATAAACACGAGGAGGCTGCCAAAACAAGGAGACAAAGAAACATGGCCCAAATGAAAGAACAGATCAAAACTCAGGAAAAAGAGCTAAACAAAATGTAGATAAGCAATCTATCAGATGCAGAGTTCAAAACAATTATTTAAGAAAAAGGTCAAAACTGTGAACAGTAAAATAACAAAAATACATATTTATGGACAATTAAATCTAAAAATCAAACTAAGCAAACAAGAACAGAGACAGAACCATGGGTATGAAGAACATTTTGATGGATGCCAAAACAGGATGGGGTTTGGGTGAATGGGTGGAGGTGAGGGGATTAAGAAGTACAAATAGGTATTCTGTGACTACCTAGTCACAGAATAGCAATGGGGATGTAAAGTACAGTACAGGAAATGGAGTAGCCAAAGAACTTACAGGCATGATCCATGGACATGACCAATGGTGGGGGGATTACCTGAGGGAGTGGGGTCACTGGATGGAGGGGGAAAAGAGGGAAATATCAGGATAGCTGTAATAGCATAGTCAATACAATATAATTAAAAAAATAAAAACAATTGTGTACATGGAAAATAAGTCTATTTGGCTAAGATTTCACTGAATTAGATGTGTAAATAACTTGAATATTAAACTAATAATATTAAGAGCAGAACAGCTCAGATAGATTTTATTGAGAAGAAAATTAATCTTATATTTAAGTGCTTTAACTCTAATTGTTTTGTATAATAGGTAATAAATATTTATTGATATGATTTTATTTCTATCTCTTTTAGGAGAATTTATTTATCAGAGTGACCTAAACAGTTGAGTGTAACTCTCAGTACTGTTTTGTTTTGTTTTTCAAAACAAGGTCTTAGGTTATTATATGCCTACAATCACCCAGGATGTTTGTAAGAAATGCTAATACTTGAGCATCCTCCCACTCCCACTACCTGAGACCTGTGAAGGAGGGATGGTGAACATGCATACCAGGTGGGCTTTTTAAAAGACCGTATTTATTTATTTTTAGAGAGAGGAGAAGGGAGGGAGAAAGGGAAGGAGAGACACATTAATGTGTGGTTGCCTCTCATGCACTCCCTACTGGGGACTTAGCCCACAACCCAGGCATGTGCCCTGACATGGAATCAAACCTGTGACCCTTTGGTTTGTAGGCCAGTGCCCAATCCACTGAGCCACACCAGCAAGGGCCTAGGTGGTTTTTATTGGTTTTTATGTCCAGGAATGTTTGAGAACTGTTGCATAAATTATATTCAGCCTAACCAAATCAAAGCAATATGACAATTTAAGTGTTACCACCTGCCCTAGAATAGTTTTGTCAATTTTGATGGAAGTCAAGAAGAAAAAAATATATAATTAGAAGAGGACAGAGGTCAAAAGAAAAGCCTAAGAGATTAAATATATAAATACACTCACCTCTTTTAGGTGTTTTATGAAAAAAGGGTGAACTCCAGGACTGCCAGTAGCTTTTACCTGCTTCTCGACATCTCACTTGAAATACATATTTAGTGTTTGGCTCCAGATAGAATGTTGACTGTTGCGCATATGTGAAATTGGTGTCAAATTTTTTTACCTAAAATGGATGAATAATAATGATAAAATGATAGAATGTGTTTTTAAACAATTATTCCATTTAGCAAAAATTCATGGAGCATCTAATATGTTTCAGGCACTTTTCTAGAGCCTGGGAAAACAAGGAGGAATAGGTTACTTTATATGAAACATGGCCATAAGTAATTATATACGTTATTTAACACTAAAAATGAAGTACACATTGTATTAGACAACTCTCTCAAGATTTTATTTTTATTTTTTTAAGAATTTATTTATTTTCAGAGAGAGGACAAGGGAGGGAGAAGGAGAGGGAGAGAAACATCGATGTATGATTTGTTGCCTCCTGGTGCCTCCAACTGGGGACCTGGCCCTGTTACCCAGGCACGTGCCCTTACTGGGAATGGAACTGGTGACCTTTTGGTTCACCGGTCAGTGCTCAAAGCACTGAGATACACCAGCCAGGGGTCAAGAAAGTCAAAATATAATATATACTTAATTTTGAAATAGCTGATTATAATGGGTTAAGAAACAGGGGACTTAATAGCAATTTTTTTTATTTCAGTCTCTCATCTCTGCTCTCTCTGTTCTCCCTGCAGTGGGATATAAAGATCAATAATTGTTCATGAATGGTGAAATAACTTCACCTGGTAATGATGACGTTTAGAAAAAAATTATTCATAAGCTAAGCTGTTAAATTGGTCCTTATTGCAGATTTATGCAAATTATACAAGACCTATTATGTATATGTATATGTAAGAGAGAAAATAAAATAAAATGCTTAAGAAAGTTAAACTGTAAAAATCTAATGGAAGAGAAGTAAGAAAATAGCTGAGGTGTAAACTTACAAATCATTTTCTGGGGCATTGCAGCCTGCTATAAAACATAATGAAAAATGACCCCATGCTGCTTCAGATAGGAGAGAGAAGCCAGGCATTTATACAGCACCTCCAGTATGTTGTGGTAAGTGGATTTACTGAAAAAAGTGACGCATGATTGAAAGGCACACATAAAATATGTATACAAATGCATTTATGCAGCAACTGGAAGAAAACAATTACTACACATTCATGGGAGAGAAAGTTAAAACTATCAAGATTTTTTACGCAAGATATCAACCACATTTAGGGATTCTTCTGTTAAAAACCAATCTTAAAAAAGAACAATCTTAACATAAGTCTTTAAAACTTGCAATACATTGAAAATGTAAAACTCAGGATGTCATGCTCCCTGAAACATATCATTCAGAGTTTCCATAAGCCACATCTCTACCCATGGCCCTTGGGATTTTCTGCTACATAAATATGACTGGCCACGCCTGGAGTTGCCTGGAATCCAGGAGAGATTTCACTTGTGCCAAAAGTTTGACTTTCAAATGCATTCTGCTTCATATTAGCTGCTCTAAGAAGGGAATTATTATTCTCCAATATGTCTCTTGCCATTACATTTATAGATAAGTCCCCTTATCTATACTTCAGAAGTACCCTGAAGTATAAACAGAATGTTAAACTAGAAAGAAGAATTTTTCAGAACTGTTAACAGTTTTTTCTACCATGAGGCTAGGCAGGTGACTGCTTAGGACCTTGCAACCACAAGACGATACCCCTGGATGACATTTTCAGAGGCTGAAATGAACATCAAGAGCTAGACCTAACTGAGTGCCTGTGGCAAGGATATGATCTCAAGTGCAAGAAACAGAACTTTATTTTTTATTGCACTTAATTTCTAGTTAGGCCCTGAGTTCTGAAGGTGAGGGTGCGGAAACTTAATCTCCATCAGTGTGAGGTACCTCTTTTCTTGGGGTTACATCTAAGTTTCTGGGAGCATCCTTGGGTGGAGGGAAGGAGAATCTCAAACCTGCTCAGAGTTCTATAATCCTGACTTCCTCCCTCTCCAAAGTTACATGTGGCCCAGGGTAAGCAGTTCCTTCTCAGTGACTCACCAGTGTCTTAACTGTCTGGGTTCCTCCCTCTTACCCCTGGCCCTGGCCAGTTTGCGCTCTTAGGTTCAGGTAATCTTTATCTAGTGTTTGGTGGAGGAGGGAAGGGGCACGATTATTGGAGAACTTAGTCATGACCACTCACATGTTCTTCCAAGTTGTCTGTCCTTTTACCAGCATTTACACTTTTGAAATGCAAAGGCCAAGGATTTGACCCTCTGCTATCTGGGCACTGTTTTATTTGCTATTCCAAGAAGAGAATGAATACTGGTTTTGTATAACGCATGAGCTAAGAATGGTTTTTACAGTTTGTACATGGTTGGAAGAAAAATCAAAAGAAGCTTATTTTGTGATACATAAAAATTATATGAAAGTCAAATTTTGGTGTCCAAAACCAAAATTTTACTAGAATGCAACAATGTCTACTCACTTATTGTCCTTAGCTGTTTTCATGCTGCACAGCACGGTTCATTAGTTGAGACAGAGGTCTTATAGCCTGCAAAGCCTAAACTGCCTACTGTTTAGCCCCTGAGTAAAAAATTTGCCAGTGCCCTGGTCTTGTATAATTAGAAAAATGAGTCACCATTAATGCATTTACTCGGACTTACAGGGAAGATTTCCCTAAATTACTGTCTCTCCTGCTGGGACTCTCAAAGGCAAATAATACTATTACCAATAGCTAATGTTTCAAAATTATGTGAACTAGACATTACAAGAATCAATGTAGGTACAAAAATGATTATGGAACAGCCCTGCCTTCTAGGGGCTCACAGGTAAAGGATGGGGAAATGTGCTTGTAAACAGGTAAGTATATACGATATGGCAAATGGTCTTGAGACAAGGTTCACAGCAGTGGGCAAGGATTGCTGCTGAGGATTGTGAGCTCAATTTTTGACATACATTTGATATGCCAGGGAGACAGCCCATGAAGATAATCAAGTAGGTAAGTACTTTCCCCATGGTATCAGCCTGTAGGGATTGCCTAAAGGGCTGTCTGATACCTCACAGTCTACATGCAGCTTAGCTGAAAGGGGCTGAAAAGCATTCTCAATGCATTGACTTTGATTTTCAGGTACTTCCTTTGCCCTACTAAGGTGGCCGCATGGCTCCCTGGAGGTTAAGATGAGGCGTAACAGTAGCTGCCCGTATGTACTGGACATTAACTCCATTCCAGGCTCTGGGCTATCTTCGTACAACACTTGATTGTCCCCACGACCCTATGAGGTAGGTGCTTATCTTATTCCTACTTTAGCTATGGGAATAATGAGGCACAAAGGAGATAAGGAACTTGCCCAAGCTTGTACAACTAGAGAGGCAGAGCCAGACTTTGAATTCTAGAGCCTGTGTGCTTAGCCCCCAGGCTTTCCTGGTAGCTGCCTGCCACTTGAAATAAAGAACCTCCCTTCAGCAATATCTGCTGGAGGCAAAGCCAAGGTTGAAGAGCAAATCTGTAGTCCTTAGTGTCTTCCCACTGTTCTGGACTCTCCACATGGGGGCACAGACAACAACAGTTTGTGCATGACCCAGACACAATTGATGGGGTAGTAAATGTAAAGCACAAAACTTCCTTTTGGTTATTACTGACTGGGCTGGGGTCATAATAATTCACCTTTTCCTGTGTGAGTAGTTATATTCGGAAGAACCATAGTAGAAGGGATAGGATATGGGTTTTGGATCAAAACCTGTTTTTTCATTTTCCAAATATTTTTGGGGTATCCAAAGTGATGCAGGTTTTGTGAGAGGCACTTAGTTCCTAACAGTGTAAAGTTTGGAGTACCCGACTTAAACGCCTTTGAGCCCGTTCTGTATGGAGCTGATAGTGCCCATCATAGAAGATCATCATGAAGGTTAAATGGGACAACAAATCCCCTTTCAGCTCCTTCATTTGCCTGCTCCTGGTTGAAGAGGAGGTTTTGAAGAGTGAGCTCAAATTTACCGGTTACCCAGTCTCACAATGAATGGCACTTGCAGCTCCACCAGGGGGAGCAGAGAATGAGAGTTTACACCAGAAAACAGTTGGTTTCTGAAAACCTGTTCAGAGATGCTGATGATATAATTTCTTTATATTTCCTAAACATTCTTACAGCAGCCTATTACCCCCTCCTACTATGCCAAATAAGGGAGTTTTCATATTCTCAGCATTGTCTTATTATTGTGACACTACGCAAGGGTCTCAAGTGTCCTATGGAGCAAAACTCTGTTAATTCAAAATCCAAGACTCAAGAATTTCATTTAGGCTGTTTTTGAATTTACCTAAATTCCACAGAGGCAAAAGACTGGCAGTAGATTTTTGTTCAGAGTTTACCTCACTTGTCCCAGGTTGAAGCCTGGGGTTTCCGTGCACAACACAGATGCCATAATTATTTAGTCAAGGAGTCCAGCAGGATCGCCACTTGGTTATTGACCAAATGATGCAGCACATGGATTTGCACCTAAGTGTAATCTAAACAACTTTGAAGTTCACATTTCTGGTGTAAATGAACAAAGGTAAATAAACAACTTGAAATCAGCAATTTATTTTTAAAGAGCAATCTTTAAAGTATGTCAGGAAGTCAGTATAGTTTGACCCTCATCTTCTTCACACTCTGTAAACACATTGTTCTACAGTAAAACTGATGCTCAGAATGATCAGGCTGAAGCAGAAGAAGGTTTTGGAATCACCCTAATCACCAAAGATTAGTGTTGAATACATATCATTTTCATCCCCGAAAACTGGTCAATTCATACATGACACATAACTTATTTTGAAAGAGGGGATTATTTTATTTTATTTGGATGAGTGTGTTCAATCCACCATCTTCACCCAGAACTTTCTTTTTTCCCTCCCTCCCTCCTCCCTCCCTTCCTTCCTCCCTCCCTCCCTCCCTTCCTTCCTCCCTCCCTCCCTTCCTTCCTTCCTTCCTTCCTTCCTTCCTCCCTTCTCTTTCCTTCCTTCCTCCCTTCTCTTTCCTTCCTTCCTCCCTCTCTCTTTCTGTCTCTCTCTTTTATTCTTTTTTCTTTCCCATCCCCACTTCTTCTTTGCCAGTCATCAGCTTGTTTTTTATCTCTATGGATCTGTTTCTGTTTTGTTTTCTTTTTTTATTTGTTTTGTATTTTTTAGAGTCCACATATATGTGAAATCATATTATTTGTTTTTCTCTGTCTGACTTATTTCACTTAGCATAATACCCTCTAGGTCAATCCATGTAGTCACAAATGTCAAGATTTCATTCTTTTTAATTGATGAATAATATTCCATTGTATATATGCCACATCTTCTGTATCCATCATACATGATAAATTCTCAATTAAGCAAAGCCAGACAACTCCATTTCTTAATTACTTGACTAAATGGTAGTTTATTGTAATTAAAAAAATAAAATTGCATTTCTTTTCAAATACCCCAAATTTGAAATTTTTTCTCGGACTAGTGTTACCTTATAGTTTAAATTAGTGAGTTTTTATTAATGTTCACAGGTGCTGTTGTGTGATGTGATTTTATTAATGAATCTTATACCTATGCCACTCCGAAGATACCTGGTAACTTGCCACTGGTATTTAAGGATGATTATTTTGTCTAGATATTCACTTTTTAACCTTATGCATATCTAAGCCTGAGGCCTGTACTAGTTACAAATCTAACATTTTGAATTGTATGTTTTTTCATTTAAAAAGAGACATCTATAAATCTGAAGCTCTTTTTGAACAGTTTTTCTTTTTCTGGATGCCTGTTAAATTTCAGCATAGAATCCTTAAATTTTATATTCATGATCACTGATATAAATTTCACCCTAGGATACTGCTACAAGGAACTAAGTAGATGGAAATCTCTTAGCTGGACATTTGTCTGTTTAGAAATTCACAAAAGGCAAGAGGACCCTTTCTGCTCAGAAAAAATCTCTATGGAAGCACAGTATAATCATTATTAAAACTAGAGTGGTTTGAAAATCCCACAAAGAATCAGATAAAAACATGTAAATCATCAATAGATCATTGTAAGCCCACTGTGGTTGTTGACTGTTGGTTGGCTATTTCTTCATTCACTTACATGTTAAAGAATAGTGAAAGTTAGCTTACATTCCAAGTTTGGTTTGTTGTAGCCTTGTATCTCATTTCACAGGAAACCTTTTCAATTGTTGATTGACTATTCCAATGAATTATGGTCTTGGGCATTGTTGTATTTATATCCTCCGCCCTGAAAATGGTGACTGCAGACGGTATCACTAGAAAAAAACAAAATCAAAACCCCAGAAATTTAAAACTTGCCTAGGGAGAAATGTGTAACTTTCCATCAATCTATAGACATGCTAAAATCAACGTACTAAAAGAAAACAATTTTGTAATCTAATTAATGATTTTTTTCCTGGTTTTCTATTCTGTTATGTAGGAGAAAATTTTGGGTGTTAAATAAAATTCTTTTCAGCCCATTCTTCATTTCTTTTAAAAGGAACTCCAATGATCTTGTCTTTCCTCCCACCTCTCACACCCTTATAATCCTAACTCATGAAATTCCAGAGCCTGGCCTTATTAACAGAGTGTAAAATAGAAATAAAGGAGGTAGCTCTTCTTTCCTGCATCTGTTTAGGGAGAGATGATATTTTGCATCTTAAATTTAGTTTGAAGATTGATTTGATAAATTGTTAAATTTAAACCTTTTACAATAATATTATTTTAATTCTATGGTGTTATATGGAAATTTGAATGAATCTTTACATTTATTGCTAACTTGTTTTATTCCTCATTAACATAAATCTGTACTTGAAAGTAAATTTGAACAAAGCAAGTCTCACAATACTCTTTAAAACTTTATCAATTGTTACTTTGTTCTCTGACAATAACTTTCAAAATGGAACTGAAATTCTGATTATCTTACTAGTACTTTTGTTTACTAGGAGTAAGGGTGTAACTGAAATCTCTATATATTTCTAAAATGTATAAATACTTATAAGTGTGTTCTGTCTGAATAGAATAGAGTCATTGGCATTTTCCATTTCTCCTATATGCATAATTAGGACAATAAAAACCTATGACTTTGCTACATGTATTATTTAACAAAGAACTCAAGAGTCTATATGTATATTTTTAAGGAACATTCTTATAGTTTAATGTCCTCTGTGAATTTATTTTCTTTTCATTTACTCTAAATTTATAAATTACTCTTTGGGAAAATTTTTGTTTTATTATTAACTATTATCTATAATTATGTGCACAGGTATATAATTTATAGAGAAATATAAAAATTAACAATTTCAATCCACTGAGCCACAACTGGCAGGGTAAAGACTTTACATTTTGAAAAAAACTGTCAAATCCAGATCCAAATGTAAAAGAGAATTTAGCATATGATAAAAGTATATGACAAAATCATAAAAGAAAATAGTTATAATAAGAAATGACAAACATAAAATAACTGACCATCTATTTGGAAAACAAACTAAATTAGATCCTATGAAAGACATTGACTGGTGGTTGAACAACCATTCCCAAACCTCTTTTCCCTTTCCCACCGGAAGTAACTTCTATCCTTAATTTTTTGGTAATAATTCTATTATTTTCATTTTTTACCTCATGTATGTTTACCTATAAACAATGTATTATTCAGTTTTGCCTGCCATGAAATATTTATTTAAAAAACAAAGATTCCCCCCGAATTGTCAGGTAATCATAGATACCACATTTGAAGTTTCCGCTTATATTGAAATAAAAAACCAGATTATAGTTCTTGGTATCTTTCCAATGACATGTATTTACCCATAATTATTCACTGGGGGAATTAATATTCAAAATGGCAGCCAGAGGACAATGCACTTCATGTGTTCAAATGTATTTCTCTACAAGAGAATTTTAATCATTCCTCTCACATGTCATTTTGGCACAATGTTACTGCATTATTAACTCAGCTCTGCCTTTCAGCACAGACTCTGTAACTTAATTAAAGCCCAGTCCCATAGCTGTTAGGTGGAAATTGCTCCCAGGAGAGTCCACTGCCCTCAATTTCATAGAATGGTACATTTATCTAGCGTGAAATATTTCATTTTTAAAGTGTCACAAGTGAAAATAGTTCATCTGTTAATATTCTGGTGGCTTTGTTGGGTAGAGCCCCCTACACCATTACATTATTTGGATAATGAGAAAGGAGGAGGAAGGAGAAGAGGAGGAGGAGAAAGACAAGAGAAAGAAAAAGGAGGAGAAATAACTCCAAACAAGAGGCTCCCTTGTTCACAGTGTGAGAAGTCAGATTTGCAGGTGGCAGCCAGATGAGATTTTCCTTTTATGGGAAGTGGGATGGTAATTGACTATGGCAAGTCAAGAAGTCTGGGATGAAATCTAGCTGTCCTTACTAGCTATGTGACCTTGAGCAAATTATTTCATCTCTTTCTTCTTCTATAAAATAGACACATAACATTTGTGATCGTTTCCAGAATTTAATGTGATATGCTTATTGTCTGCAACACAATTCAATGATGTTAAGATCATAATAACATCACAGTGATGATAATAGTAATACTACTACTAATAATATAGTTACTAAAAATTACATTGCCAGAAAGATAGTAGACATGGTAGCCTTTAATCATCAGTGATCTGTCAAGGTTAATCTGTTATAAGAAAAGGGCATATTATCTCATCCTACCTCAAAATGTAAATTTACAAAAATAAATAGATCATGGGCAAGAGAACTGTATATTTTAAGCATATATACTACAATGGAATTATTTTTCATCACCATAGTCAACAGTGTTTTTTTCAAACCCAGTATTCAGAGCATCATGACAAACTTTTAGACTAATCCTAAAAGTTGACATAGTCAAGTTTAGTTAAGACAGAAGTTGAGATATTAGTTCCAATCAAAGACCCTAATGATCTCTCCAAAACACTCATGTTGTGCCCCAAAAGAAGACATCACATCCTCTAAATCATTAGACAGCAGGAACGTTGTCAGACACATTGTAATGTGCATTTAAATAAAACAGGATAGGAGTTGAGGATGTTGTAATTAGAAGCTCCCTAGCTCTGCAACCTCAAATTTCTTGATGCAACTTTACCTGTTTCCTCATGTATACACGTATATAATCTCTTTTACAAAATAAGGCTGCTGTGAGGGTTAAATAAGATAATGTGTGTAATAGCAGTTAGCACTGAAGAAAGTGCTGTGTGAATGTTAGCTGGCTGAACTCATCCTTCATCCAGTCCCCCTTTATCTGTGGCGGGTAGTTTCTGAGACCTTCAGTGGGTGCCTGAAACCAGGCATAGTGCTGAACCCCGTTACACTATATTTTTTCCTGTACATACACACTTGTGATAAACTTTAATTTATAATTAAGCACAGGAAAAGATTGGTAACAATAACTAATAGTAAAGTATAACAATAATAGTATACTATAATAAAAATTATGTGAATGTGTGCTCTCTCTTTCATAATATCTTTTTGTAGTATACTCATCTTTTTACTCTGAGTGAAAAGCACTTTACAGCTTCTCCTTGACACATCTGGATTGCCAGCATCATTACTCTTGCGCTGTGGGGCCATTATTAAGTAAATTAAGGGATACTTGAACACAAACACTGATACTGTGACAGTAGCCAAGATGGCTACTAAATGACTGACAGGCAGGTGGCGTATTCAGAGTGGGTGGATGTTGTGGACTAAAGGATGATTCACAGCCTGGCAGAATGTAAGAGGATGGCTCAAGATTTCACCACACTACTCAGAATGACACACTATTTAAAACTCATGAGTTGTTTATTTCTGGAATTCTTTATGTAAGATTTTTGGGCCACAGTTGACCAAGCATAACTGAAATCACATAAAGCAAAACCACAGATAAGGGTCGACTAGTGTGATAGAAACAGGAATAATTGGCACTGGGATCTTCACATAGCAGGTGATTCACACCTGGCACTCTTGGCTGAACTCTGGCTTTAGGGCTGGGATGTAGTGGTGAAAGACCCACTTTCTGGAATTATCTTAAGGAGAAAACCAACTATAAGCAAAACTTCAGCCAAAAGGTTGTTTATGGCAATAGTTCAAAATGATGAAAATTACAAAGCAGTCTAAATCTCCAACAATAAGTGACTGTTAAAGAGATTTATTAAAAATGCCATTATAAAGTAAGAAATATTTATTCTATATTATATGTTTAAAAGGCAAAGTCTAAAAATAGCTGAAGCAAAAAATTTTAACATTTATTATACTTGGCTGATAAACAGAGATGTCAACATAATTCTCTACAATTCTCTATGTAATTTGTAAAACTTTTCAAAATAAAACTAAAAACATAACTTTCACAATAGTGCATACAGAAGACTTCTTTATTATACTGTGCTTCTCACAATAAGAGACTCACAACACTTTATTCTAATTCTTATTTCTTTCCATCTTCTCTGGTAGATTGTAAGATACTTAGGGCAGCAGGTACCTGTCCATCTTATTCCTTCTAGCCCTTAGAACAATGCTTGAACATAGAAAGTTATCAATAAATATTTTTAAAACACATATACCCATGTAGAAATTATAGGTCCTTTAAATATTGTTTTCTTTATCATGATCTACAGGAGCTTTCAGGGAAATCCTTTCAGATCTAGACCTCACTTAACTGGGTCAGCACAAATCCATTGTTTATTTGTAAAGAGGTAGAATTCCTCATTCTTTACCTATATCATCCAGGTGAACTTGCAGTTGTTTTGACTTCTCTGTGCCAAGTACATTTGCAGCTTGGACCCAAATCAAATACTTCTTGCCTCCTTGTAATGAATCAGTGGAGATGTTAATATAACTTGAAGTGAGGTATTGTTGCTGTTCTTCTGTTTCTAAACTTTAAAAAAAAATTATAATTACCACTTGCATTTGGCTTGAATTAATTATTCCTTCTTTTTTGATGCTACCTTTTTAGCCCACATTCAGAATACAACATTTACTGAAAAATGGATCACAATTGATTTTATTTTGACAATTTAAAACAAGAAATCTAAGACCATCTAGGGCCACAGTGTGACTCTCATGGGCCCTAAGCAATTTTGTCTTCATGAACTCCTTCTATTAAGAAAAATATAGTGTATATATGTGTGAGTGTGTTTTTAGTTATTTATATGTGTACATACCTATGTTTTTATAATGTTTACAACTATTGCTATAAGGGCAAATATATTAACATCACATATTAAAACACTTTCTTTGACTAACAGTTCATTTTTTCCTTCTGATTTTAAATTAAATTAAACATTATGATGGACTCCTGAAAGTATTGTGGGCCCTGGGCCCTGGGCCCTGGGTTTACTGTGTCTATTGAATAAGTTGGCCCTGGACGTAGCTTGAAATAAGGAGCACCCTCTAGAAAGGAGCAATGAATAGAGGTTTGGTGCAAGGGCTTTGAGTTGACATTTCTACCAGATGCAGGATAAGGACATGAATGAGATGAGGGGTGCTGATGGGGTAGAGATCTGGTAGGGCAGGGGATGACTAACCTTCCAGACAGAAAAAAAAAAACTAGCACATTCTGAAACAAATAATTGAAATCATATGCCATTTTTGAGAAAGTACAACAAGTTCAATCCTCTAGAGTGTGAAAGCATAGGAAATAACTTAAAGTGGGGCAGACCAGGTCAAAAAGGCTTTCTATGGACTTTGATAGCAAAAAATGACTGGAACTGGTGGCTGGCTGGGTGAGAGAAAAGGAAGTCCTTTGCTGCGAAAGAGGATGGAGAAGTTAGAGGAGAGTGACCTGGTTTGGAATGAGAGATAAAGAGCTATTAAATTACTACTTCAAAGTATATTTATCTAAGTTTTTATAATTGAATAATTGAGGATATCTAACACACCAATTAAACTTGGTAAAATTTCAAATGTTATTTGTTAAGACTAAAACTTAAAATTTTCTTAACTGATATTCATTAGCTTTGAACAAAAAGTTTGAGCTTCTTTTTTTTCTACTCTATAATATTTTAAAGGGATAGGGGTTGGGAGTAGTGGACAGGAGGGTACTGGAGAATGTTTCTTCCCTCATTTTCTGTTTTCTGTAAGGAAAGATTGTCATTAAACCTCCAGGCCTCTTGTCCTGCCCTTGCTTTCGCTTCCCTTTTGAAAGTGAGGGTGATTCTACTTGAGAAAAATGGGGCGTGTGCACCTCAGTCCCCTCTTCTTTCTTCTACCCCCAGGAGTCAGAAGACCAGAAAGGTAGGTCACTGTCTTAGTCCACTCCTCCAATATGCTGTATTGTTTAGAAGAGCGAGTCTCCCACGTGGGGACCTGCAGCTGTCTGGTGCTGGCTGTGACCGAGGGCGACAGCAATAAACCTGTTTATTCTGGGAGGATCAGGATTAGAAAGTTTACTGTTGCCACATACCAAAGCCATACACTCCATTACCAAGCTTCATCAGTAGTAAACATTAAAAATTATTTAAATATTTAAATAGATATTTTTATACTTTTATTTTGGCCAACTGACTCGGTGGTTCCTCTCATTTGGTTTAGAGCTCAGGGAAATCTGCAGAGGTCAGCATAGGGCCCCTCAGATGCTTACACACATGACCTGTGATCAGTCCATTCATAACATGAATGTGTTTTCACTAGACTTCACTGAGTTTACACTTCTTGAACTCTTTGAACTGCCAACTGCTTTTATTTCCTTTTTTGAATTTCTCAGTCAGATTTTCTACATCCTGAGTTACTACATCCAAGTTAACATTTCTACTTGTTTTTTAAGCCCTTTGTTGTGATTTCTGCCTTCACTTTCCCTATAAAACTAGTTTTCTAAAATGCCATCCATTCCAAGGTGAAGCCTTCTGAATCCTCTTTTTAGCATCTGTCCCTTTTAGTTACTTAAAATTCTTAGTTATCTTGGTTACCGGACCCTGTCCTAGCTTCTGAGTGAGAGCTCCTATATCTATTTTTCACACCTGCTTGGTGACATCATCCCTCCTTCAACCTTCGACCTGGGTTTCCCTCCCTCCTTCACTCACCACACTGAGGGTCAGCCTTTGACACTTGCCTGTTCCCTTAGCTCTTTCCCTCGGCTCACTCACCATCCTGCCTTTGATTGCTATTCCACCTGCATGACTACCACATATCTGTGCTTTCCCTGTGAGCTGCCTTTGAATGTCTAAGACCAGAACTATAGCACATTTCCAACTAAACAATCTTTTTGTGAAAATGAGCATTTCTTGCCACTTACTCCATTATTGTCAACAACGTGCTGCCTGATAACCTCACTTTGCCATTTTTAATAGTTTTCTCTCTGTCACCCTTAAGAGATAACCAAAGAAAGTGTAGTATTTTTAAAAATATTGTTTTCTTATCTTTCCTTCCCATTTTGGTAGCTGTGACCATGGTCTAGTTTTATCTCTATATTCATTATCTGTTTGGTACATTACTTGTAGATTCTTAACTTAATTGTATTGCATTGTGAAACCTAACTTGATACTCTAATACAGAAGGGATATAACCTTGGAATTTGAACAATGGTAAAAAGACAAGTACCCTACATTCTTATAATCAACAAATTGAATACTTCATAAATTTGTATGTCATCTTTCTTCATGGGTCATGTTCATCTTCTCTGCACTGTTCCAAGTATAGTATTTGTGCTGCTGAGGCAAGCAATGGCTTGATTTCTTTATCTAATACCGTCAACTGCTCTCTGTCCTGGGGAACTCAATAGGCTTTGTGAGGAAGAAACAATTATAAAATCACTGGCCTCTCATCCCTAGGGTTCCACTTCAGGTACTGTTACTATTATGTGTCTATACAGCAGCTCCCAAATTTCTTCAGGCCCACTGTCTCCCAGCCAGAATTATAACTTGCTAGCCACTTAGATTTATTGGAATCCAACATGGTATGCTTGCTAAGACACAAAACTCCAGGGAGGAAAGGAGAAACCAGCCTCACACTACCAAATAATACATGCATTTATAAATAAAAATATTACATGAATTATATTTCTATTTTTTAAAGTTATTGCTACTATCAGAGCAGGATAACCTCAGCAGGCAATTGAGAAATCTCTCCAAGGCTGACAGAGGTGGAGGAGTAGGTAAAGGGGATATATAGCATGAAGGTAGCAGCAGCTCCTCTGTCTAGTTTGCCTGAGGTTTTTAACTCTAAGGGCATATTTTCCAGTGGTGCCTTTTTCCTCTCACCAGCAAGATCACTGTGAGCACCAAGGGAGGACAAGAAGGACCTATCATCATGGTGTTGAAAAGCACAGGGCTTGGATTTTAGAGACAGACTTAGGTTCAGATTTCAGCTCTGCCCCTTGATAAAGTGTGAGACTTAAAGCCAGTTACTTAATCTCTATGTACATCTATAAAAACAGAAATAATAACATTGTTATCATGAGTAAATGAAATTAATCAGTAAATGAAATAAGAAAGCATGAAGTAGTCATCTTCACACATAATAAGGGGGCTTATTAAAATACAATTATTATTATGACTTAAATGGTACTTGTGACCTGTGACTTTTACACATATAAAAGAATAAAAATGGCCCTGGCTGGTGTAGCTCAGTGGATTGAGTGCGGGCTGGGAACCAAAGTGTCCCAGGTTCGATTCCCAGCCAGGGTACATTCCTGGGCTGCGGGCCATGACCCCCAGCAACCGCACATTGATGTTTCTCTTGATGTTTCTCTCTCTCTCTCTCTCTCTGTTGCTCTCCCTTCCCTCTCTAAAAAAAATAAAAATAAATAAATAAAATCTTAAAAAAAAGAATAAAAATGAAATTTTAAAAATTGCTGTATTTCAACAGGTGATATTTTATATTGCTTGTATCTGAGGTCAAATCATGCCATTAAATTCAAGTGTTTAGATGACCAATAAACATGAAAAGATGTTCAATGTCACTAATCATCAGAGAAATTCAAATTAAAGCCTCAATGAGATAGTATCTCACACCTGTTAGAATGGATATCATCAATAAATCAACAAACAAGTGATGGCAAGGATGTGGAAAAAGGGGAACCCTTTTGCACTGTTGGTGGGAATATAGAGCAGTGGAAGCACTGTGGAAAGCAGTGTGGAAGTATCTCAAAAAATTAAAAATGGATCTGCGATCCCACTTCTGGGAATATATCCAAAGGAATCCAAAACACTAATTCAAAAGAACATAATCACCCCTATGTTCATTGCAGCATTATTTACAATCTCTAAGATATGGGAGCATCCCAAGTGTCCATCAGTAGATGAGTGGATAAAACATCTATGGGACATTTACACAATGGGATATTACTCTACTGTTAAAAAAAAAGAAGAAGAGGAAGAAAGCTCTATTCTTTGCAACAGTAGGCATGGGCCTGGAAAATATTATGCTAAGTGAAATAAGCCAGTCAGAGAAAGACAAATCCCATATGATTTCACTCATATGTGGAATCTAATGAACAAACTGGACTAACAAGTAAAATAGACACAGACTCATAGATGGAGAACATATGACAGCTAAAGGGGGGAAGGAGATAAGGAGTAGAGGGATTGAGCAAAAAGGAGAAAAGACTCATGGACATGGACAACAGGGAGGTGATTGCTGGGGGAAGAGGGGTATAAGGAGACGAAATGGTAATGGAAAAAATACAATAAAAGTCATTTTAAAAAGTGAGCTACAAATTTAAATTTTTGTGATATTATTGGAAAGCCAAAATAAATAAATAAATAAGTTCAAATGTTTACATAGTTGCCTTATAGTCTTTCTGAAATAAGCTGGAACATAAATAAATTAGCAGAGAATTTGTTATAAGGTATGCTAACCTCATACTAAGAAAGATTTAAAATGTGAAAATAAGAAAATGGCAACTATGTGTAAGTAGTAAGTAGGGCATCTTTGAATATT